TGCCAGACTCTCTTCTCTTCCGCCATTAATATTTATTACTTCTGCCTTCCTTAGCTGCTCACTTTATGGCGGCTCTTTAAAGCTGCTCCGTCCGTTAGAGCACACATTAAATGGCAACTGGTGTCAGATTAGCGCCAGCCACCCAGCCATCAGCCGCCACTGGGGCTGGCAGTAGGCCCTGCTTTAAGCCTTATTAAAAGCCACACTTTCACATCTTTAAACTGCTGAAAAATATTCGCGACTAAGCTGGCGATTATTAAGCCCCTCTATGCATCAAGCGGCTACCCGAACCGATGAAACTGCTCTATTGCATTTGCATTTGGATGATAATAGCATTAGATGGAAATTGACTTTGACTTAAGCTTTGCCCTTTGGTCTCAAAGCTGGAGGAGAATTATTGTGCCAATGAGCTTTTCGGTAGAGCAATGGCCCCTTTTTCGAACAACAGACATGAAGAGACTTCCAAGACATGAACGATCATGCACAGTCGAGAAACACAACAAAAGCAAGAGCGAGCTTATATGTGTGGGTACATGTGTGTGCACTATTTGGCTTTACCTGCGCTGTGTTTGCTTGTGTCTCCGAATGCAGAAAATTGCAATAACAAAGTTTGCATCGTCTGCTTTGGAGCGACCTTCGCCTTTGAGTTGTGCACTTGCAGAGAATTGTCCCCCTACCCTTGTCTACCTGCCTGCTTCTATGAGAGGCAACGAATTGTTTGGTTTGTTCGTTTCAATCTCTCCATTTTTCATTTACTTTTACTGAGTATTTTGATTGAGTATTTCAACAATTTGCAAGTGCTTATATCACCGTTAGGAATTCCTTCAGCGAGCGCTTAAATTTGCATTATTTATTTATGAGCTTGTCTTTTGATTTATGAAGCTGCTTCCACCTCCCCCTTCCCCGCCATTTCCACGGTTACCATGTGAGGAGTTACCCCATTATTTGCTGTAACAAATGCGCGACTCATGGCGCTTTTATGTGCATGCATACGCACATACATAAGTATGTATGCAAACATATGTATGCATATATGTAGGATTTTAGGAGCATTAGCCTGGCCGCACTCCATGGATCAAGCGCTGAGCCACACAATCCAAAATGCTTGTTTTTCGCCAGCTTTTGCCTGTGTATTATTTACTGAGAGCGAAAGAGAGGGGGAGAACGTGTTTGTTTGTTAAGCGTAGGAGTACGAGAGATATGTATGTATGCGTGTGTGTCTGTGTGTGTGTTTGTGTGCACGCACTCGATAGATAGACTTGAAGAATACGTCTAATTATAATCGCAGTCGGGATGAATGATGTTCTCTTGGTGCTGTGTGTCTGCTGCCGGAATCGCTAGTCAATCTCCATTTTCTTGCCACATAACAACTTGAGCTGCTCGGTCATAAGGTCAGAGTTCATTTGCCAGGCTAATTAGCAGCCAGACTCTCGGGCATTCACTCCATTGGCATGCTTCAACAGAAAGCGGAAGCGAAATGCCAATAACTCCCCCATTGGATTTTGCATCTTAATTATGGTTTTGATGGAGCTTTAATGGGGAGCTGCATCCACTTGATGTGGCATCCTTTCTTGGTTAATTAACTGGAATAGGCACTGCAGTGAAACGTGAGAAAACTTCTCGCTTCACTCTCTCTCTCTCTCTGTCTCTCTCTCTCTCCCCATTGAACCCTCCACAATCGAGCAGAAATGCCAAGTGGATTATCATAAGCTTCCATCTATCAGCGAGGAAAAATGTACCCACAGGTGGAGCCGCACTTGTTTCCCCTCGTTTTGCGATAAGCAAATATTGTATTGACAGAGAGAGGTCGGTGTCGGGGCAAACGACACATCTCCAATTACGTTGCTCACATGGATGCAGAACACACAGCAGCAGCAGCAACCGCCCAATTTCAAGCACAATCAACTCTAACCTCATCCACTGGGGTCTAGTGGCTTCTGTGGTTTTCTCGTTTAAGGGCCAAATCGAAACGAGCCGTCGATCCGCCATGCCGCAGTTTAACTTTTATGCCAACAACATTGTGTGTGTCTCGCCCTGCCTGCCCCTCTCTCTCTCTCTCTCTCTTTCTCTCTCTCTGGCTCTCTGGCAGGACTCTATCTGCTGCACGCATCATTTGCTTTCCATACGTACTCTCGTACGTGTAGGTGTACGTGTACGTGAGAGTGACAACATTAAATAATCCATTTAATGTGGCGTGCATATCATATCCAATGCTATCCAATGCCAATCTCCATACAGACTTGTTCACCCTCCATCAAGGCTGCCATCAGGAGGAGTTTGGGGCCACAGCTGAACACAAAATCAATGAACAACAACAACAACCAACAGACTAACAACTTTTTGGGGAAGTGGCATCCATTCATTCTACGGACCAGAGACGCCTGTCTCAGCAGATGAAAATTAAAAAAAAAAAAAAAAAAAAGAAAATGTAGAAAGGAAACGCAACCAAAATTGAGAATCATGTAAGGGAATCTTTCTGCTTTCTGAGTGTGGTACATAGTACTACCTTTTGGCGTGCCTTGACGCTGACAGACGGCACAGGACTGCCTTTCATATCCCCGCCTTCTCCTCGTTGGCTTAATTGATGCCTCGCTGCGGAGGCTCACTTATTCATTTGATGAACTGAAACTGAAACTGAAACTGGGGGCAGGCCCACATGCGTACCACTTCTGTAGCTACATACATACATACATACATGTACATACATTCATACATACTCGCATATGTACAGTAAGATATTTACGAGAGTGATCCACAAGGCTGCCGCTGGGCGTGGAGCTTCTCGTTTGTGGCAGTGTAAAGCAATTCCCGTAATGAGTTTCTCTCCTGCGGAGCACTTCAAAATACTTCGCGTATGTATGTGTGTGTGTGTGTGTGTGTGTGTGTGTGTGTGTGTGTGTGTGGGTGAAATTACTTTTGGTCCTCTTGATGCTGCTCCGACTGATGCTGTTTGTTGTAATGCGATTAATTTTGATTAATTTGTTTCGCCTTTTACCCTCAAACTCATAATCCAACTTTGAATCTGAATTTTGAATGCTTTGAAGTTGGTTTTTCGAGTACTTTTGATCCTCATGCACCATTTGGTGTCGCTTTCGAATCTAGAAAACTAATTAATTAACCAACAAATAAATCAAAACACTTAGTCGGTGTATAAGCGCTTTGACACAGCATGCCACACGAGGAGGCGCCGCCTCACTCCCTCCTCCCCCGATAACGAGTTAATTACTTAATTAATGCGCGCACTCGCGCGACCCTCCAGCTGGTTCATGCCCTCGTCTCACTTTTAATATTGGATTAATTTGTTTGTGCCACCACCGAGTCGAGAGAGCCGTGAGTAATATCGCCCGCTAGGGCCGCTTTTGGCCAGCAAAACTATCACGACCAATAATGTGGCATGGCAGCAGGGGCAATGTTTGTCATGTGGGAACAGAGGGGGACGGGGACGGGGACGGGACTGTCAACACGTGTGACGCCATATTTTGGCGCCAGTTGCCAAACAGCTTTTCTGGCTGGAAAATTGGAATTAAAACTGCATGAAATTGATCACTGAATCGCACTGAATGATGCAAATTCTATACGGATAAGCGGGAAAAGCTAATAGCTTTGTGTGTTCAGGCCCTCGCCCGGTTGCTTTGGAGTGATGCACTTCCATCCATCCACTGCTAGTTGCTTCGAAAGATATATGACACTAACATTAATCGACATTATTGAACGGAAACAGGACCGATAGAGGAGACTATTTTCCATTTTTGGAAAGGCGTTTGCCTGCTGCATTGCTGCATGCCGTTGCCACCAATTAAAAGTTTGCTGAACAACTTTCTGCACATTCTGCGTGTCGCCAAAAAGAATTTTTCTAATTATTTGTTTTGTCCACGCGAAGGAAGGCAGTGTGCGCCAGCGGCCACTGGCTCCTTATAATGGAAGGAAGCCCGTAAAAATGAAATTAATGTGCAAACTTTTTAATTGGCAAAAACAATAAGAATGATAATAAATGGAATTAAATGACTCAAATGCCCAACAACTTTTTTGGGCCCTAACCAATTTGACCAAATTGTGCCTCAAAATATCGTCCGTCCCACTGATAATTTAATTTAGGCTTTAATATGGGCATTTTTCCCACGAAAGAGTTACAAAAAAAACAAAAACGTGGCTACATATGTATTTATCTGTTTATAAATTTATGCAAAATATATGTATTTATGAATTGAATTGATAAATTGAATTAAAGCAACGCTAAAGCAGCTCACATTGAGCAAGTGATTTATGACAAATGTGAAGTGCGCACACACACATCGGCAATATTTAATGGGGCACTTGGCCCAGCATGTGTGGATTGTGGATTGCATTTTCATTATAGATAATCACGATTTAAGGCGTCCGTCCAGTCCAGCCTATCATCATCGCACGGCCTGCCGTCACGTTCCTGCCATTAAGCTGAAGTCAAGCCGTCGGGTCCAGTCACAGCATAATAAATAATATTTTAATAATTGAGCGTCGAGGACCTAGCCATGCCCCACACACACTGCCACACGCACACGCACACGCAGGGGGAAACTGTGGCGCTCATTAATTTTTCATTTGGCTGCAGCCTTTTTTTTTTTTTTGTACATTTTTGCGCTCCATTAAACTTTTTGCATAATTCGAGCATAAAAAATTATGGCATGGCCAAGACTGTAACATGAGCATTACCTGAAACGGTAATTTGGCTGTGTTTGTGTGTGTTTGTGTGTGTTTGTGTGTGTGGCCATAACGGCTTAAGCCCAAAATCGAACGAGAAATGAGCTTTGTGGAACCCTCAAGTTTTAGTGATTTCTTTTCACTTTGGTGTGCCCTGTGTCCCTGCCTTAAAATTTCAATGAGATCTGGCTGAAAACCTAGCGAAGCTTTTGCTGATTTTGCTGACAAATCAAAGCCATTAAATTTTCATAAATGTCAAACAACTGTGTAAACTCTCAAGGAGCATTCATAATTATAATTGGGACAACATTTCTTGTACTTACTTTGCATTTATGGAATGTCTGGTCCCTTTGGATTGTCCGCAAAGGCCAAGGATTTTCCCTTATTCATCCGCAAGCGAGCAAAGCTGAGGGAGAATGCGGATATCCTGTAGCTGTAATGAGAAACGGAAACGAATCACATTTATTAATAGTACAAAAATGTAGGAAAATTCTGCAATGAATGGACAGCACCCAATCGATGGTTGGCTTAGCCGGAAATCGGGTTAAATGTCCAAATCTAATCAAAGTATTTTCATTAATTATGTCAAGTTAATTAGTTAAGAGGGTTAAGAAGCCAATTAGCCGCATTGTCGTAGCTGTGGTCCACTCGAGTGGGCGCCCATAAGGCTAATAAAAATATGTATCCAATAAATATAAGGGAATTACAATTGATGGCAGCTTTAAAAGCTGAATAAACGATGCTTAAGGGCATGACCAACGCTGCGTATGCTTCGTATATTGAGTGAAATTCCAACGTCCGAGCTGGCGATGGCCATTTTAATATTTCGTCATTTATCTCGAATGCCGGAAATACTGGCAGCAGCAACGTTGGCCCCCAAAAATAGCTGCAGGACTTGTCTGTATCTCGCCCCTGAAGGTCGAGCAGAATTTGGACACATGGGCTCTGGAAATAAGTGTCAACTGTGTGTGTGTTGTAGGTGGCAAGGCAAATGCCACAAACTGTCGAAACGTGGCCATAAATTTACGTGCAGCGCAACTAATGAAAAAGCTTGTTGCCGCCGTCAACATTTTTCTCGCCCTGGCTGAGGCGAGCCGGAATGCAAGCCTCAACTTAATTAAACTCATCCATTTGGGACCAGGCCACTGCGACAAATATCCCCATTGAGACTGTGCCATACCCGTGCGGGGAAAATGTCTAAGGAAAAACAACTCAACGCATTGTTTGGCAGTGCATACGTCAGGCTTGTGGCATCTAGCAAAAACTTTTGCACTTTTTTGCCACAAAACCTAAAAGAGAATAGGATGCGGATAGTGAAGGATATGGACGGATCCATCCATCCGTAGAGCAAGTAATGCACATATTTTGTTTCCATTTAAATTGGTTTTTGCTTTCTGGTTTCTGATCGCACTTCTCGTCCGTGTCCCTAGCTCTGTGGTTCTTACAAAATGCAGATTGATAAATCTTTGACCGGCACACAGTCACGTTCGACGAGAGCGCACCAAGGAATAACCAAAACCAAAACTCACTGGCGCTTCTCTAGTCCGCAAAGGCAGCAGCGTCCAGGCTTTAGCTCTGGCATACGCGAATTAATTTCCCCCTTTTTTGGGGCCCTTGCATGCAAGGAACGTTTCATAAACAGCTTCATTAAGCGGGCAGAGCGAAGAGGGAGAGGCAGTTTAAGCTAGAATAAATTCCACTCGGATATCCGGCGAGTGGCGAGTGGCGAGCGAGAGTAAGAGTTTTTTTTTTGGGCAAGCAAGCAGACGGGCAGACAAATGTCTGCTCATTTTGGATGCACATTTTCACTGCTCATTAAATTCGTTTAAGTACGTACATTTATAATTTACTTCCCCTACGCTTTCCCATTCTCTTTTCGTTCCTGTTTCCCTACTAACCCGCATTTCCACTTGTGTTTCATTTTGCAGCTCTGCCGCACATACAAATAACACTGCAACAAAGTTTTAGACCGAGACCAGAGACTTCTGGCAACTGGGGAACCACAGAAATTAGTAGCCACATCAATTTTGAGCTCGGACTTAATTAAACTCTACACTGCCCAGCCTGCCTGCCGAACCGCCTGCCCTTCCGACGGTGGTCTGGACTGAATTCCGAGACGAATTCTGGGGGAAAATTAATTGAAACTTACAGCCCGAAACAACTGGCAACAGGCGCAGAGCAAATGCGTTCAACATCGTTGTGCCAGCTGCTTCTGCTGCCCCGCCTGGTTGCGCCACCGCTGTCATTGTTGCACTGATCGTCACACACAATACTCCCAAAAGGATTAAGCAGCGAAATGGCTGAAAGAATACAACGGGTAGGAGGCGGCACCTCTAACTCCACCACTGCCATGGTGCTGCTGCTGCTGCTGCTGGGTCTGCTGCTAGTGACGAGCTGCTGCGGGGAACTTCAACACGCATTGGGACACATTGGAGAGCAGCCATTAACGCGGCTATGGGAGGGCAACGGAGCCGCGACATCTATGCCAAGGTCCACACTGTACCCTGCGCACACAAGCGGCAATTTAAATTCACAATTTGCAACAGAAACGACAGCGACGACAGCGGCAACATCGCCCACCGAAACCATAAAAAGCATTCAAAAACAGCAGGTGACAGGCGTGCAGGAGGAGGAGGAGGAGTTGGCAGTTGGCACAGCAGGCCAATTACCCTTAAGTGTGCCTGCAAGTGCTGCAACATCAACTCTAACCGAAACTCTAATAACAACCGCAGGACGAGTAGAACAAGAAGCACAAGAAGCTGCTTCCAAGTCTTTTGTGCCCAGCATAATAAGGAGAGCAACAGCCACGTGGCCAAACCAGCAGCTGACATTAGATTCAGCAAGCACAGCAGATAGTGCCACAGAAAGGGCAGCACCTAGAGCAGAGCCAGGTGTGGCACTATTGGGATTGCGATTTGGAAGTGCTGAGGCAGCCACCACCGCAACAGCAGCAGAAACAGGAACCGAGGTACAACGGATGCGAGTCATGAATGCAAAAGCCACAACACAGGTAACACGCGTGCAACCAATTGGTGTGGCAGCGGCAACAGCAACAGCAACAGCAACTGAATTGGGAAAAGCAAGCATTGAAAGTACAGCTGAAACACCACCAACAGTTTCGGGGATACAAATAAAAGGGAAGCGTGTGGCAACAACGACACCCACACCTATAACAACAATTACTGGAATCAAATTCAACATGAAAATGTTGGCTGCCACACCAAACTATGTAAATGCCTCTGGGGCAGCAACACAACAAACAACAGCAGCAACAACAACAACCACAGAGACAAGAACAACCACAGAGACAACAACGCAACAAACAACAGCCGCAGGAGTTACAAAAACCGTGCCTACACCCAGGCTATTGGGCGGTGCAGGCTACATGGTGCAACTCCTGGCCAATTCCATTGGCAGCTCCGCACCACCACCCACATCCGTGTGGCCGGTGAAGCATGCAGCCGTTCTGGAGGGCGACGTCATACTGGGCGGCCTCATGATGGTGCATTCGCGAGAGGACAGCATCACCTGTGGGCCAATCATGCCACAGGGCGGCATCCAGGCACTGGAGGCGATGCTGTACACGCTGGACCAAGTGAACAAGCAGCAGTTGTTGCCAAATGTCACACTGGGCGCCCATTTGCTGGACGACTGCGACAAGGATACCTACGGCCTGGAGATGGCTGTGGACTTTATAAAAGGTAAGTGTGCGGGGCGGGGAGTCAAACAAAATGTATAGAATTAAGCTTACGCTCGAGGCCAGCATTTGGCAAACATTTGAGTGGTGGAAGAACAAAGCGAAAATATTCAAAAATATGAAAAATTAAACTTCTAAGAGAGTTTTGGTAACTTTTTTTCCAGTTCAACTTTCGGTGGGGTTGTGGTTGTGGTTGTGGGCGGTTACCTCGCGGTTGTTCGAGTTGGCTCTATAATTTAAATTACATTTATTTTATACGCTGTGTCATAAATCTGTGAAAAGTTTGTCTGCAGCTACGACCTTCAGCGTCGCTCCCCTCCCTCCCTTTGCCAGAGCTGTGCTTAGGCCTATAAATCTGGCCTAAACTCTTGACTCTCTGTGGAAAGGATAAATAGCTTCATGCATATTTTATGCGAGTGGATGAATTGATAAGTGGATTGCTTTTAAACACCCCACTCCTTCCACCGCACACACCACAAATCCATTGCGCATGCAGATTTACGCCCAACGGGGCGATTTATTAGCTGATTTCGTTGTACGTACTCCATGTGCATTTCTTGCCCCATTTGTTCATTTCAAGTTGAGCATTTTACCAGCTGCGATTGCTGCCAAAAATGGGTAAAAGTTTGCCAGCATACAAAGTGCACTTGGCATTACTTCAAAAGTATTCCACAAGGGTATCTGCAGGGTCGAATATCTGGCTCTGGGTTTCTTTTCTTTTTTTTGTCTCGCTGCGGTGGCTTTTCCACCTGCGTTAATGTGCGGGTGTGCACTTAATCTATAACAAATAGTGAAATAATATGAAATGGGCAAGCCAAAGCTGACCGCAGAAGAGATTTATTTTTTTCTTTCTTGAATAAATATGAAAAATTACGCACGCAACAAAAAAAACGGATTGAAGTCGAGAGCAAAATGGAAACAAAATACAATAAATAAATGCTTTTCATTTAAATGTTTGTGTAATTGTTTGTCTTTTTTGGGTAAACTGGCGAAAGACCAAATGAATAAATGAATGAATTGTGTGCAAAAACAATATTTAATGGAGTCCGTAGTGCAGGATAAGGTGTTGAGCATGCAGTGTCAGTGGACGACAAGAAGTGGAGTATCCGTGCTTAGGTGTGGAGTCACTTCCGACCGGAAGGAAGGAAGGAAATATGAGTGGGAAAGAGCACAAAGGTGCTGGCAATTTGTGGCTGCTATTGAGCAAGAGAATTGCATTTCATTTGTTACTTCTTGGGATGACAACTGAATCATTAATTTCTTAAGAAAATCATTTCAAATATCACTCCCCCGTCACTCTATACCCACTCTTGATTTGCCCAACAATTAACCCAAAACTAAACCATTAATTTTCTTAGGATCAATGAAGTCTGATGGGGTGAAAGAGGATGCCTTCTAGCACACACAAAACAGACATTTTGTTGGCTTAATCTCTGGCTTCGACATTTGCGGGGTTGCTTTTGCAGTTGTGGCCAATAGTCAGCCACAGAGATGTGGCACAGAGTTCAGTACAGTACAGGGGCTGCCTGTTAAATGCAATCAGATGCAACAGACAAGCGGCCAAGTCGGCCATTCATTTGTCTTCGTTAGCGTTTGTGGGAGGGAGGAGGTTGTTCGCTGCAGACTTCACTGACATCCGCTGTAGTTTTTTTGATTTGTTTAATTTCATGCACCCACGCCACGTTCAATATAAGAAAACTCCATTAAAAACCAAAACTTAAGAAAACATTGGAAAA